CAAGCAAAGTCTGCCCTTTATCTGCATTCCTCAACCTGTCATCTTCTGACCAGTGGAATTACAGTGGGACCAAGGTGCTTCTACTTTACAGGTGGTCATAATTGAGACAGAGGTTGGATTTGGGCCAAATCTAACACCCACTGCAAACAGCAAATAAGTCTTTTTGGTAGTCGAGTCGGCATGCAGACAAGGCTGAAAACAGCCTTTGAGACCACACTTACCTTAGCCACCAGAACACACCATTATCTTCACTAAAAGAACTACTGAAAAGGGTCCTGAGAGAGATCCCCAAATAAGAGACAAGACAGCCACATTCTCCCAAATCCTTTGTCATATGCAAAAAAATAAAAGACCTTCTTCAGATTCCAAGAAAGACTATTCAGACCTTTAGAAGAAGTTTACATCCAAAAAAAAAGGACCAGCAGGGTGGCGTAAATTTCTCAAATCCATAATTGGGCAAATAACAGCTAACCCCCACGATTGTGTTAATAATATAGAGGGGGGGGGTGTGTGTGGCAGGATATGAAAGTTTAAGGTCACCACAATTACAACAGTATCATAGGACGTATGCATCTAGATAAGGTCATACAAAAGTAAAAGCAAGTCCTTATGTTAAAATAGTGGGGTTCATGGGGTGGTCTCTTAGTCTAATAATCAAAAATATTATAATAGGCATTGGGGCTCCTTTTTGTCTTCGGCGTTGTTTTCATCAGAAAGCATGTTTTGAATGGACTTACGCTGGCCGTATTTTAAATAAGTAGGCAGACAATGTTAATAATGATGAAGATGCTTCTGAGAAAGGAAGGAAAGGGGGCTCTGAGGGTCAGGGTATGGAAGACGATTGTAGGGGGGGGGGGGGAGAAAGATAATGTGGATCTAATGAACTACAAGAGGGGCCCGGCCCTGTAAAACAAACTGGAGACAGAGTGTGGTTAGGTGCTAGTGAAATCAATTTTTAAAGGGGTATTTTTACAACACGTCTCTTTTAAAGCAAGGCCAATTAAAACCCTGGGAACCTCTTTAAATGGGCCACCCTGCTTGACCCTGGCGCAGGCCTGGTTGCTGCCGACATAGGCTGAGGCCCTCGGAGAACACCCACGTCCCCAGGTGGGCTGCCTAGTGACTGAGCCAATCATGCGCCCCTCCTGCTACCCCTAGGGCCCAAAGGTCCTCCTCTAGGAGAAGTGAATCCCTATTCATCCAATTTACCCAATAATCCATAGACTGCCAGTCAAGTGAGCTGATCAGCACCACACAAGCTGAGCGGCTCCACCAGTGTCTGAATGTTCAATTTCCAGCAGATGGCTTTGGTATCTTATAGAAGACGTCAGTAGAGTGCCTTCTTGTGTACATCCACCGCTCCCTGTGGTCATAAAACAGCTTCATCCGCCTCTACACTCCCACCAACTTTGGACACAGATTGATCAAGATGGGATGTTGTCATGGGAACAGACTCTAACACCCCAACAGATGCTCTAGATTATCTGGTCTTGGCACCTCCACCTCTACCCCTTGGCCAGCATTCTGAAGACCCCAAGGAAGCCGTTTAAGGCTCCTACTGGTTTTCTTTCATCCTGAGGAGGGAGGGCGTCTCCACCCCATTCTCAGCTTTCACAGACTCCAGGCAAACCTGCTGACCTCCAGGCACAGGAAGGTCGTCAGCAGCTAGGGGTTGGTATGGATTCTGCTGACCTTCCATTCTTTCCCGGTCATCAGATTCTAGGGGTTAAAATGAATCTCAAAGACAATCAGAGTCAAGCTCCTTTATCCTGATGAGTGACTAAATTCCAGAGAGGTGGAGTGCGTTGCTCTGAGCACGTAGCTTTGCCGGAGCTAGAAAAGCAGGCCTTCTGACTGCCAGTCCCAGGCGCTGTCCTGCACATACCCCGACCCCCACCCCCGCTGTCCACACTCTGCTCCAGTCACTCTCACAAGGTGAATCTGAAATTCTTCAGGGAAAATTCTTAAAGAAATGTGTGTGTGTTTCCCTTCTGAAATCCAATACATTTTTTTTTTAATCAAATAACTCTGAGGGATCCATGGAAATTTCTCCCCCAGCACATCCCAGCTTCCTACCCTCAGTGCTATTCAGCTTGTACACATGCCCCACTCAATATTAGCACCATTCTCCCTACCACACTGTTCATTTCCTGCACAGCTTAATGGTCTGGCCCTTCAATACCATGTCCAATTTAAATAAAAGCATAGCAGTCACATATTTCTAATAAGAGCACAATTGCCTGTTCCTTAGGACAAATCATATTATTTAATTTTTTTTTTAATTGCAGTCAGAACACACTAAATAAAGTTTATATTTTTCACCTCTGCACTCATCCAATGGATTTAAGGAAATCCTGACAAGATATGGCTGCCATCCTGACTCTGTCTTTGGCTGCCCCACTGGGCCAGTTACCCCCCCATAACCATGCCAGGGTGAGAACACGTGGTCTCTAAACACCAAGCCTGCAGTGGAGTCAACACCTACCGACCAGGGCCCCACCCAGCACAGAAATGATTGTCACTTTAATTCTACCAGAAAGCTATCTTCATAAGAGAAATGGGCTGAAACGCAGCAAAAGGGTGTCACCAAAAAATCAGGTTCCAACTTTATAGTATCTTGTTCCTTAAAACAGTGGCATCGCTTCTCCTGTGTGTTAGCAGGTTCTGCCATGGCTGTCTCGGTGCTCACCCCACCCAGAGGCCTTTGAAAATCACCTCTCTTTGAAAGGATTTATAATTGAATGTATCTGAGGTCAGGGGAGACCGAATCACTTTTTAATGACTTGTATAAACCTCTGTGTCTGTGGTTGATGCTTTAACACTGAACAAGGTTCTTAGCGCTGGGCTCTCAGAAAAGCGAGATGGTCTAAAGAATACAACCATGGGGCTAAAATCCCCTCTTTTGGAGGAGGGGGTGGGGGAGTGTGAAGGGGAAATAAAACAGCACAAGAGTCACAAAAGCTAAATTCCACTTCCTAGCAGGGAACTGTGGCCCAACGCACTCACATTCTGACCTGAGACCTGCTATGAATTCCTTCTAGTTTCCAATTCACTAACTGAATGCAATTGAGTAAATAGTTTAGCCTCTCCGATTTCATTTTTCCTCAGCCTCTCCAGGAGTTGAAAAGGTATCGAAAGGGGATCTGGGTAAAGTTGGTGAATAAAGGAGTGCATGGACAGGGGATGGGAAGTGTGAAGGTGAACCTCTCGGAGGTTCAGGAAGGAACACGGCATTTCCATGCTGGGGAGCTCGCAATATATTTTTTTAAAGAAATAAACATGTCACAAAAAGGATTGTTTGAATTTCACAAGTAGATGCTTATTAGCACAAAAGAAAATATATCATTGAATTGGAGCTCTTCTGTACCTATGGCACCGGGATCAAAGGAATCGCCCTACCCAGAGCCACCCTGAGACGGCCCAGTCTGGCCGCCATCTCAGATAGTAACACGAGAGGACTTCCAGCACAGGGGTTCCCTCAAAGTTACTTTTTTTTTTTTTTAACATGTCTTTATAAAATACTTTGGAAACATCGAAAAGGATGGTCTCCATTGTATTCATTTTTTCAAATGTGATTACAAATTTCCAAATGACCCTCATTTCATGTTTCCATGTTCCAGCTTTTTAAATATCTAGCCACATAAGCCATCGGCGAAGTGGCATGATCCTACAGGACTTCAGATTAAAAACTGGCTTTAGAGTTATTTTACCATCTCAGGATTCTGGATCTCAAAAGAAGGACCAGAGGGGCCTTCTCCAACCTCCAGAGGCAGCGATGAAAGTCACTCTTACAAGCTCTAAAGAGCCTTTTCGGATAGTGTCGCTTCTTTGTGCAACAGAACTTCATCTTCCCTATTGGAAACCGGCTCTTCCCATGGCCTCTGAAATTAGCACACATCCACATATGATCCCCAGCTTCCCTTTTATACATGGAAAGACTCTTCCTGACTATATTCTCATACCCACGTCTATAGAATCAAAGCCTGAACTAGACCATCCGTCTGAAGGTTCTCAGAACCTGAATACTCCCTCTGCACCTGCCCCTAAGGTAAGTGACCAGCAGACACCCCTGTGTACACAGGCTCACAGAATTGCACACTTCATCTGGAAAAGACACATCCTCCCTCAGTACTGGGTATACTAGACCTTGGCAAAGGCAGATGGCGAACACGTCACCTTCCCTACTTAATACTGTCACTTACCAACAAGAAGATGAATTCTTCCCAGGTCCTAGCTGCACTCACCCTGGGCCCAATATCTCTCCATGGTGTCCAAACCAAATCACAAGAGTCCCTGACTGAGAAGGCATTTGGAGCTGCTGACTCACGTTCTGCCTGTGTGATCATAGTAGTCCCTTACGGGACAAACAAAAGGTTATTTTGTCATCTTGTGATATGGCAAAACTTTGTGCCATTTTTTTTTTTTTTTTCTGGACAAAGTCGTTTTTAGGCAAGCAGTTCTCCCCAGTGCCCTTGCCTAACTGAGCTGCCTGGCCACTTTTCCCGGTGTGGATGCAAACGCCCCTGCTTATTTCTGGCCATCTCCCAACACCGAATAGACCAAATATACCAAAAAGGACTTTGCCTTTCCCTACAACTGAGTCAGAAAAATTACCAGCAGAAGACATCTCTAGAAAGTGAGAATATGAGCCCCAACAGCTACTGAGCCAACCAGTTCTTCACCGAGCTAGCTGCCTATTCAGTTCAGAATTCAGCCCAGGGAAATGGCTTTGTCACACAGACAGAGGGAAAGCTCACAGTGACTAGATGTCCAGGCTCAGTGCAAGGACTCACAGCTCACTTCCAGAATAGCCCAACTGCCCCCCAACGTACACGTCTATTCAGACCCAGTGAGGCAAGCACAGGTGAGGCGAGCTTACTTCCTGCCTGCTGCCTCGGGAAGTCTGCTTCAGTTTCATCTGTCTGACTCCAGCAGGCTTCTCTCTCCACTCAGGTGGTTCAATTCCAGATTCCAAAGAAGGTTTAAAAATAAAGACTTACCTCATTTGCTAAAGATTCTGGGTGGGAAATCCAATAGCTAATGGCTAATGGAGGGGAGGCGGCCGACAGCCCTCACTCAAGCCAGCTCCTGCGGGGATGGGGAACCGGCTCAGCTGTTATCACATCTGAGCCCTCATCGGAGTGAAGATAAATGCATATGACAATAATTTTAAATCATTTTGTAGGATGTTAAGCAATAAGCCACCAACCGGGAATTCCCTAAGTCACTTCCTCCTCTTCTGATTGGCCGCCGGGCCCTTTAAAAAAATAAAATAAAGGATTACAAACATTGGCTCATTTGCATTTGGCCAACTCACACGTTAGTGTTCAAACAAAACAGGTCTAACCAGGTTATGCCTGTGTCTCAGGAACAGAGAGACAGCCTATTAATGAGTGAGGAATTGATTTGCCGGTGACTGTTCTTTTCGGCTGTTTCAGGTGAAAAGTACCTGCACTCTCCCTTCCCATCAGGAAGGGAGAAGGGAAAAGCAAAGTGAGCAGAAATGCAAATCTGGAGGAGACATGGGATAAGGGAGTGACATCTGTCTCGTGTACTAACTTCTATTCAGTCCCCTCTGCTTTGGCATCAAGAACTTCACCCTGGCTGTGCAGGTGGCAGGTACTGAAGGGGCTCCCAGCCAGGTAGTCCCTCCCCCATACACACAGGCACCACAATCGCCTGTGGTAATTTCAATGGACTTTGAAAAGCCATTCCCCCACCCGACCCCCAGGTAAGAGCCTAGAGAGAAAGTTTAAAGGGAGGATCCCAGGAGAGAGGACCCCCTGAGTTCCTTTCAGGTGGAACAGCTGACTCTCTGGTTGGTGGGTTACCCAGGGTCTTTCCTTCTTCCTCTTGACTCTTACATGGCCTTTTTAGCTATTTATTGCCAGAGGAAAATACCAAGATGCTGAAGTCAGAAATAAAACAACACCTGTTGGGCAAGAGCCCCCTGAGGAGACTCTTTGGATTTTAAAGACCCAAACAATCCCAATCCCCTTGGGACAAGGGCCTCCTTCCCTGGGCCCCCGGGGCACACCCACCCACACAGGTGAGGGACTGTTCCTGGCACGGAAGACATTCCCTCCCCTAACCATTAACTTTCTCTCAGGTCTTTCTGGCCCCTGGCCTGGTATGAGCTAAGCGTCCAGGCAGATTTCTTTAACTCACCAGGCCGCCCCTCTGTGGGAGAGGAAGGGGAAATTGAGTTTTGGCAAAGACACAAAGATTCTGTGATTAAAACCAAGAAGTTCCTTGTGTGAAAAAGAAAAGTCTGTGTATGAGCAAAGGCTGAATCGAACAACGAAGTCAGGTTGTCATGTTAAGGTGAGTGAGCAGTAGTTACATTCCTTTCTTGCTTGTTTGCCCAGCTTAATGCAACATGAATGGCAAGGTCTGTGAAGGTGGAGAAGCGTTAGTGGGAAGGTTCCGGTGAGTTTGATAGGGTCTTGGAACTCAGGCAGGTGGGGAAGGTTTTTGAGGTTAGGGAGTGCCACTTAGGGAGGCTCTGAAAAGCCCCTCTGCCTCCTTTCCTTCCCTAAACATTCCTCACGTTCCCTCCCTTTAATCATGTTTCTCCCAAGGGCCTTGTTAAAATGCAAATGTCTGATAAAAACACTAAATGCCATTATTGCCCATTATCACATTAGCCCCAATTAGTCTATCAGCTCCAGATCTGAGAGCAGGGCCCTGAAGGAACAGCCTGTGTGGGAGTTTTTGTTTGTTTGGTGTGGTGTTTTTTTTTTTTGTTTTTTTGTTTTGTTTTGTTTTTTTCTTGAGTGATGAATCAGGAGAAGCAACTAAAGTAGCATTCCACCTGCTACAGGGTGTGTGTGAGTGTGTGTGTGTGTGTGTGTTGGAGAGGCAGGGTATTATTATTAGTGCCAGTGGGACTCTTTTACAGTTTTGCCTGAGATCAGCCTGAAGACAACAGAGGGCACAGAGGGGAGGTGGAGAGGGACTGTATGGTCAAGAAGTGGTGAACTTCAAAAGTGACGTCTCTCTCTGGGCCAGTGCCAACCACCTTTAATGGTAAGCCCTTTTTTTTTTCTAGCTGAAAGTTTCCAGGAACATCTTAATTTCTTTATCCTGCCTATTTGAGATCAGAGGACAGCTCCCTTAAGACACTCTTGAGAGGAGTTATTTTGGGATGGTGGAGACTACAGGGGATGAAAAGAAGTCACCTCATACTCATGAGCCACTGTATTTGTGGAGTTTTTATGTCTATAAAGTACTTAACAATGTGTCTAGTATTTAGTGGATGCTTACTATTGGTTCTCTTCTTTACTTGGGACTTAGTTGAACTACACAGAAGACAAACAAAAACAATACCCCCGCCTCCTCCTCACTCCCCCCAAAAACTAGATTTTTAGACATGTTGCATGCATAGAGAAATTCCTTCAGCGTATGTATGTACTAGGAGCCCGATGCATGAAATTCGTGCAAAGGGCTCAGCCCTCACAGCTGTCCGGTCTAAATAGCATATTATACATTTATTATTATAGATGAGGTCTTTTACCCTATGGTCAATTTCAATAGTACAGTACTTGCATTAAAAATAGATGCTAGAGATAGATAGACCAATGATAGATAGATGATAGATAGATAGATAGATAGATAGATAGATAAATTGATAGATAGACTGGATACAGTTCTGATATTTAACTGAGAATGCTAAAACTTGGATTTGAGACTGAGGACTTCTATCGCAAGAGTCTCAAATAGTCAACCATGTCTCTCATGGATCAGAAGTTTAAAAATGTAATCATAAAAAGATCAAACACACCAGAGCCTTTAAATCCTCAGGCCAAGATCAAGATATCACTTGGGTCTGGAACCAACTTTACAGACCCAATTGCTCTGCAAATAGATCTTCCTGGTCTTCCCTATTACTGTCCCTGACCCACACAAAAACATGGAGGATTTGAATGGAGTCCTGATGCTGGTTCCCATGGAGGAAAAGGGGGTGGAGCAAACCAGAGGAGGTTGTGTGCAGCAGCCTGGGCATCCTTCTTTTGGCTGGATTGTCTACAAGAAGATATACATCACAGAACCAAAGAAGCCCAAAGACCTTAATTCCGAAATCAAGGCCAAGACAAAGAATCACTCTTAGCCAAGTATCAAGCCCTCAGGGGTCTGAGTCTTAATACCAACACAGGCTGTGGTTACAAGGTGGATGATAGTTGTGTGCCTGCTTTGCAAGGAAGAGGATGCTTGCTTACTTTACACAGCACCTTTTAGAAGCCCTATATTTATTTTTGAAAGCAAGTGTGTGTTTATATATGTTTCCATCTATCATCCCCTCCTGATGACATGGAGTTACCTCCAGGGCAGAACATGACAACTCTTTAGTGAGAGACACCTAAGAATATTAGGACTGTCTGCGTGGGGAAGACTTTCTTATAATTATAGCAGTTGTTTTTACACATTATTTTAGCATAAGAATTCCTTTTCCGTGATCATGGAACCCCCAAATATAAAGCAGATTATAGAGCTGTGGCTGCATAGGGGATGGAGGTGAGGCAGCTGGAGTCTCCTTTAATCAGTCACCCTTCCCCTCACCCATCAGCACTCAGCCTTTTCTGCTATATATCATGCTTTAGACTCTGTGTCCTCACTCCGGGGTAATGGGACATCAGAATCCCTTTCACAGGTTCTGATTTTTGAGTTCTTTGCTACATAATCGGCACGTCTAGGGGGTGGAGTGATAGCAGAGGTAATAATGTATGTTGCACCCATCACCAACTATTTAGATGGTGTGGACTCCCCTATCATTTCACTACGATAAACCAGAAGACGTGGCTCCTACCATCTCAGGAGACATTTTAATTGAGCTGACTTGGGTGTGGGTCTCAGTACTTGGTCTCTCTCACCTAGAGACCATGAGGGATAGCAAACTTTCAACCCATCTAGAAAATGTTTAAAATTATCATCTAAATGTCAAACGATTTAGGAGAACCTTGATATTGGTGTGTTCAGACTAGGGGTGCTCAGAATCTATTTCTTTACCCTAAAATACAAGCTGGCTCAGCTTTCTCAGAAATAGCCTGTGCCGTAGAAAGAACATTGGTTTGAAGCCAAACAGACCAGGAAAAACTTGTCACATTTAAGTAAAATTTTAAGTCTCACTTTCTCCATCTGATCATTGAGAATACGTATGTTCTCTTTTTGGAAAGTTAAGTGAGAAATTGTATAAAGCACTTTCAGAGTGCCTGGCACTTGGTGGGGTCTTGGGAAATATTTACCTCATCCCCAAATATAGAACTTGAATCCCAAGAGGACCCCTCCTATCCCCATAATAGATGAAGTCACCTGCAGGTGGTTAGATAACTCCACATTTCAAAAAACAAAGCAGGAGAAGGGGACAAGAGTGGAAAAGTTCTAGGAAAAAGGAAGAGTAATTATGACCATTCACATATATTCAGCTTTAACCATGTCCCAGTCCCTAGACTAAGAATTTAACTCGCATCACCTCATTTAATTCTTACTAGACTCCATCAGAAATGTACCATGACTGTTCTCACTTTACATATGAGAAAACTGAGCCTCGCAGGCTTGATAAGTAGCTTGGCCAGGGTCACACAGTGGAGCAAGTGGCCAGAGTTACTGTCATTCCAAAAGAAGATTTCTTAACCACAACCCTCTTCGAAAAAGAGAAGCTTAACAGCCTGTTGAAATTTGGACTATAATATCTTACACTGACATGGAGAACCAAGCTGAATTCTGGAAGGCAATTAGAAGTGTAAATGTTTCTTAAAAGTCAGATTGTCAAGTTGAAAAAAGAAAGTCTGAAGTAGGGAAACGGGCATGTGATGGATCTCCTAGGACAGTCTTTAGCCCCTGCCCTTCAATACCAAATACTTTAAACGTTAAATGTTCAGAATAAAAGAATTGAGGGGAAACCCATTGGAAGAAGCTGTGACTTGGTCTTGCTTGGGAAGTCATGAGACTCTTTTAAACACAAAGGTCACCATGCCCCCCCAGGCCTCATGGTGCTGATTCAGGTTAAATAACACAGTGAGGAATCCTTCGGCATCTGGACCCAGAAACAGCAAAGGAGTAGAGCAAAGAGATGGAGTGATTATGAAGGCATTAAGTATGAAGGTTGAGGGCAGCAGTGGAACCTTGTTGGGGATGGGGTTGCCCCCCACTAAATCAGTTTCTCAGTCCCCATTTTTCATAAGCAATTGTGAGTGACTCAAGAAAATGTGAAATGATCCTCAACTAAATTCTGTTCCTAAATGTCCTTCAGATAGAAATCTGGAGTTCTGGACCTGGTCAGTTCTCTGGAAAGAACACATCTAGAAACCTCCTAGAAATGATATCAGAGAATTGATAAGCACCGGAACTATGCAAAAAAAAAACACAAAAAAAACCAAACAAACAAAAAACAAACACCAAACACCTCCTTTGCATAAATAAATGATCCATTGGGTCCATTCAAAACATATGCACCTTTAGGCTGGTGGAATGTCAAGAATTAAGCCCTTGGAGTTATTTCAGAATAATTCCATATTGGGGGGAAGTCCAGATGAATCTCCCACGTGTATCATGGTGTGTATATGATTGGTTTCCCCTTTCTCTCCCCCACCCCCATTCTTGGTGACCACATGTGAATTCAGGGTTTGGAATTAGTCATTCTGTGTTCCTGAACAAGGACTGCATACAGAACAGTCACATTTTGAGACCTAGTTTCTTTTATGACAGTGCCCCAGGAAAGTTTTGTGAGAATCCTGATTTAAGGTTGAAGGTTAATAGCTCTGAAATTCTGGGAACCAAAAAATATTGTGTAGGTGGGTGTACAGTAAAAGTGAAATGAGGAACTCCTCCGCAAACCCAGCCCCAAATCTACAGTCGGTTAATCTGAAAACTTCTGAGAGGACAGCCCAACTGTGCAAGGGACCAGTCACAGTCTACCCCTTCCTTACAGTGGAAAACAAGGAGGCCCTTGAACTCTGTTTTGCTAGAAAGAATGGGATACACAGGGCAAGGGTCAGGAGCCACCCCTGACAAGGTGAGTGTGCATGAAGGCCATGGTCAGCCTGCTGTGGACATTCTCCATGCACACCAAAGTCCAGCTCTGATGGACTTTTCCCACCAACACTTGAAGACTTCAAAGTCTACCCAGGGTTTACTGTTCTTCGACCCACCAGTTTGTGGTTCTCCAAGAGTTGCCAGACCACTAGAGCAGAAAACTTCAGCGAGTCCAACCTTAGATCTCACAATTGTGTGTGGTTGTGGTGGAGGCGGCTATCCTTGGCTAAGGTCTGAGATTTGCTAATCCCTTTTCTTTCTAGCTTGACAGGTCACCTTAACTTGGAAATTGAATGGGCAGCTGGGAAAAATGTGTTTATTAGGGGTTGGGTCAATGCTCTGTGAATTTGAGCCTTGGCTGGGGGTAACATTTGTTGAAAGGTAAGATGCCTAGGAAGCCACAGTACTGTGTCAAAATGAACACGATTACCGGGTATCCATATCCACCCTAGGTCACTGCATGGCCCACAGCCTCACTGGGAGTGGACTGTTCATTCCTCTCTCTGCAGATCCTCTCCATCCCACAGAGCTCTTGGCAGCAAGCGTCAGCAATAGAGAGAGTTGCTGGGAAAGAGAGAAAAGTGAGACCAAGAAGGAAACAGACAGACTGGGGAGTGGGCGGGGCGGAGGAGGGGACGGAGTTTCTGCATGTTTTATCCCAGTGCCCCCAAAACTCACCTAGTAATATTTCTTATCATTGTATCACAACTACCAGAATTTTATTACACACACTCCCATTCCTTGGCTGCCTTCTCAGAAAGCAGCTAGATCATACCCTTGTTCAAAAATCTCTGCCAATTCCCCCTTTTTTAGGGCTGTGCTTCTCAGAGGTATTAAGAACAGAACTACTTAAGATGCCCTGGCCAACAACCTCCCAAGGCTGTTGTGCAAGATACTTTTAAATGCAATTAATAATTTTTACTTTAATGGTCACATCATTTTGATATGAAAACAAACTTAGTAAAGGAGAGAATCAATGTGAAAATCATTAAGTAAATACTAGAGGTGGGTATACAGAGATAGCAAAAATAGTGGCAATGAAATGTGAAGTTTTAGAAACAGTGGCTCAGAGACAGGGCAAACTCCCTGAGGGTGTGCCCTTGACCCATCCTCCACCAACGGTTCTTCACCCATGTGCTAAGTCCCCTGGTCTCCGACGGACCCATAAGCTACATCCCAGACAGAGTGGGCCAGGTCGTTTCTGCACAGG